TTTCGAGCCGATACAAGCCATAAAATAAAAAATCGCTGAAGGAGATGAAATCCATACCGGAATATGCGTTTAAAAAGTGCTTCGACTACTGGGTAGTTCATTGGAGAAAGTATATTGCTTCAAATGGAGCCTATTTTAAAGGAGACAAAATAAATTTTGATGATATATATACAGGGTGTCCTATTAAGTATGGATTGCGGCCATATCTCGAAAACTATTTAACTTACAGCTTCGGGGAAAAATATTTTATAATAAAAGTGATTATGAGAAATTCATCAAAAGAAAATAATTTTTTTCGCATATTCTCAACTACTAACCGAGTGAAAAAAAAAAATCTCATTCAAGATCAGCATACCGTCTTCTAGAACTTTGTTTTATGACATTTTTCCGTAACTTCACAAATAAAGGAGTAGGGGGAGGTTTTACCTATTTATGTAAAAAGTCGGCTTATGTCCGTTTGCCTCAACCGATTTTTCTCAACTTGGATCCATTTAAAAGGCAATTGCTAGGACAATCGACTAATTTTGGAGTTAAATTATTTAATTTATAAACGAACGGTGGCCAGGTGGCGTTACGTTCAACAATAGCTTTTTTAAGTTTTATGCATTTTTTTTCAAATGGAATAATACAGATTTTATTACACGATAAGAAAGATAATTTTAAGAGGAATCATCCAGTAAAAACCCGAAATCGATATCTCTAACCAGTCAAAATATTTTTCGATTTCGATTCGAATCTTACATTGATCGCAGACGGTGTGTTTTTAAGTATTTACAGTAGTGGTCGTAGGTATTATTTTATATTAATGAATAAATAAAAATTATAAATTGCATTTATAGTTGTTTTCGAAGACCGGCAATTCTGGACTAGTGCAGGTTATAGAAACTTGAAGTGGAGAATTTTTGCTTAATTTTAGTTTCATTCTATTGATGACAACTTGAAAATATCAGCTGAAAAAAACATTAAATATTTAGGAATACTAATTGATTGTAAACTAAAGTGGGATAAATATGTAAATTATGTATCAAACAAAATTAGGAAGTTACTGTATACAGGGTGTTATTAAATAAGTACGACAAAGGAGGAGGGCCTCTAAGGCCGGTTTTCGGACCCTTTTGTTTTTTTTTTCGCCAGTAAAGTCATAAACAGTCGATTTGACCCTAAACGGAACCTCAAATAAACCCCCCCCCCCTTATTCACTCCACAGTCCTATTCCCTCCACAGTCCCTATGATAAAGTAATAGGGTAGCATAAACGCCTTGTAAGTGACTAACTATTTGCCAGACTACTACCCTTGAGCCCTTTTACATATTACTTATTATTATTTTACATATCGCTCAATAGCCTGCTACCCCAATCATTACCCCTCCCCCCCCCACGCTGATTTTATTGAAACTACTCTTAGCGTTGCCCAGAAACAACGACGTGGACGTGGTAGGTATTTGTTTCTTTTGGGGTGCTTTATTAACGTGAGTCCCCTTGCTTGGGGTGCTTTATTAACGTGAACGGGGGGGGGAGGGGGGCAGGGTATGAGCAAATAGTTAGTCACTTACAAGGCGTTTATGCTACCCTATTATTTTATCATAGGGATTGTGGAGGGACTAGGACTGTGAAGTGAATAAGGGGGGGTGGGGTATTTGAGGTTCCGTTTAGGGTCAAATCGACTGTTTATGACCTATACTCACTGGCGAAAAAAAAAACAAAAGGGGTCGAAAACCGGCCTTAGAGGCCCTCCTCCTTTCAGGGGGTGATTCTACATGAGAAAAAAATGGTACGCCACTGAGATATTACGAATTAAAATTTGTGACAAACAATCTCTCTTGTCTTTTCTTCGTATGGGGCGCCGTTTTGATGAAAAAAAAATAAAACATCTTAACGCGTATTTTTTATTTCTTTAATACATTTCTTAGTAGGCTACTGTCAACATTTGTCTGTTAAATACGAATATTTTTAAGAAATGTCAAATTAGCGTTTCGTCATTATTAATTTATTAAGCTTTTAGTTTGCTATGACATTAGTGTTAATAAGTAATTAATTTTTCTTTTATCGAAAAGAATGGGAAATTTTACAAATGCGGAATTGTCAGATATGCATTTTGTCTATGGTCGAAGTAATGGAAATGGTCGGCAAGCTCGACGATTGTCTGCTGAGTTGTACCCAGGACGTAGGGTACCTCATAACACAATATTTGCTCGTCTTCATCAACGTTTGCGCGAAAATGGTTCATTTAAGAAACAAACGGTGACTGTGGGCGCCGCGCCCTCGAGAAGTACGAACTGTGCGACTAGAAGAAGCAGTTCTCGAGTTAATTGCGGAGTCACCTAAAAATTGCCAACATATTGAATGTAAGCAACTTCACTGTATTTAAAATTCTTAAAGAACAGCAATTGTATCCGTTTCATATTGAACGTGTGCAAGCTCTACTACCTAGAGACTTTTTTCCGCGCCTATTTTTTTGCCAATGGATTAATCATCAAATCGCTCAAATTCCTAATTTTTTAAATGCCGTTTTGTTCACTGACGAGGCTACTTTTGGACGACAGTGTATACGAAATTTCCATAACAATCACTTATGGGCTGAGGAAAACCCCCATGGAATCTTTGAAGCTCATTTTCAGAATCAGTTTTCCGTAAATGTATGGCTTGGGGTAATTGATGATCATTTAATCGGTCCATATTTCGTCCCACAACGACTAACACGTGAATTTTATCTTAATTTCCTACAAGAAGAGTTACCTGTTCTTCTTGAAGAAATTCCTCTACAGCTGAGACAACACCTATGGTACATTCATGATGGTGCACCAGCCCATTTTAGCATTAATGTACGTAATTACTTAGACACAGTATATCCAAATCGTTGGATAGGTAGGGGAGGTACGGAACATTGGCCTGCTCGACCGCCGGATTTAAATCCTCTTGATTTTTGCATTCGGGGTTTTCTTAAGTCATTAGTTTATTCCACTCTCGTTGAAAATGCTGATGACCTGAGGAATCGAATTATAGTCGGCTGTGAGACAATAAAAAATATACCAGGAATATTTGCGCGAATACGACAATCAATGAGGCGAAGAGTTGAATCTTGTGTCACGTCTGAGGGAGGTCATTTTGAACATTTGTTGTAGCTCAAAATTTTATTAGTGTTATTTTCTGTTATTGTTCTGGTTTAATGTTATTGTATTAGATAGTTCTTGATAATGTATGTATTAAAGAAATAAAAAATACGCGTTAAGATGTTTTATTTTTTTGCATCAAAACGGCGCTCCATACGAAGAAAAGGCAAGAGACATTTTTTGTCACAAATTGAACGAGGAATTCAAAAATGATTTTAATTTGCAATATCTCAGTGGCGTACCATTTTTTTCTCTAAAAAAAATTGAGATTATTACCCGTACGCGCGCCAATGATGAACATAAAATTCTTAATTGCGTGTCAAAAAATGAGCAATAACTACCTCTTGAAACCCACCAAATTTTATTTGCACATCTCGACCGGTTTCAGAGCAATAAATTAAATCGTCAGTTTTTAAGAAAAACTTTGACACCCCGTATCTTGGAAAACGAATCATTTGCGAACATACGTTTATAAGCAAACTGCCATTATTTTCTCATGTAGAATCACTCCCTGAAATTTGTCGCACTTATTTACTAACACCCTGTAGATTTACAAATTTAAGAGATATATTTGAAATTAAACAATTAAAAATATTGTACTATTCACTAATCGAATTGCATATGAGATATGGCATATGTATTAGGTTGGGGGGGGAGTACTGGATGCAACTGCAAGGAATTTAGAAAACTTGCAGAAAAAAGTTTTAAAAATTATACTACATGAAGAGCGCCCTTACCCTTCAAATGATTTGTTTGCAAACAGAGAAATGGACATCAGAATGCTTTATTTTTTTCAATGTGTCCTCTATCAGTGGAAAAACAAAAAATGTGTGGAGCTGTGAAAAACAAAAAGAAATTTAAATAATGAAGTACGAACACCTAAAAAACACACCTAAACACCTTAAAACTACTTGTGGGCATCAAAGATGTTTTACTTACCTTGCAGTCAGAGCTAATTCATTGCCTAACTGTATTAGATGTATTACATCTTTCAATAAAATAAAATCAAAAATTAAAGAATATATATTACAAAAGTGCAGGTCAGAAATACATAACATCATTAACCCCAAACGATACTTCAACAATATGTTTTAAGTTTCATGCCATCGTCAAATTTTGATAATTTTGTATAAAAAATAAAAAAAAAAGATTGTTGATGTTTACGTTTTTCAGTGTGAAGTTTTGTAATAATTACATTAATAGAAAATTATGATATGTTTGTGTGGAATATTAATAGGTAGTTAGAAATATTATGTATGTGTAAGTAGGTTCGGTATATATATTTAATGCTAATTTTATTTAATTACTTGATTACTTAGTTTTACTAGTAAGATGCTACTTACTGATTTTGATTTACTTGATTTTGTTCATGCACAGTGCATAGTGCACTTATATGAAACTTTGTTTATTTACGTACACCGGCTCTTATTGTTTATATGTGTGTACGATATAAGTATATATGTTATTGTTATCGCTGCTGAGTAAATAAAGTATTCTATTCCCTTCATCACGTCATGAAGATCCCCTCTTGCGGTTTCCTATTCGCTCTTTCCGTTTCCTTGCAATGGCGGGCGACCATAAGTGGGTCACCCTCTACAATATGAAATAAAATATTTGTTAAATCATTAGCGACGTTGTATCCACTTTCATCTTCTTGTTTACATCGACCAGATCCTAATTACTGAAAACACGACTAACCACAACACTGATAAGGGTGAGGACGAATCCCGAGTCTACTGGAACAAAACAAGCCGGTATGGTCTGATTTAACATTTCGTCAAGATATCGATAACGAGATTTATTTATATTCTCTTCGGAATAGATAAGAACGCGGCGCTTATATATTTGGTATAAGATACAAGCATCCATTCATAAATATCGTACACTCAGGCAGTATAAAACGTGGTGAAAGTGAGGTTGTGCTCTCAAGTGTGTGAAATCGGCTAATGAAGATGATCTATCCGGACATCGAAACATTCAGGAGGGACAGCGAATCCTTCGACTCCATCCCGGAGTTTAGGCAGTCCCAGCTGGAAAAAAACTGCAACCAGTTATTCGTGAAGGGACCCGCGCTGACCAAGGATTTTCTGGAGAAGATGAACACTGATATAGTGCCCAAGAAGACGTACCTCTTTGGGTACGAGCTCAACACGAAAAAGATTCTGTGTAAGTGGAAGGAAAAATTACACTTAAAATATCTTACAACGGTAATACGAGGTTTGTTTCATCTCAAATAGACAAAAGTTATTTTATCTCTATAACTTTATGAAAGATAAGACTCAACTTTTAGAATAAAAATCAATCATGATAATGCAAATCACGAGCCAGTGGCGGGTATCAAACTACTATCGGTTTTTAGGGAGTAATTTATATGTCCACGTATAGAACGATTTCATGACGAAATAGTTTCGAATGAAATTTGGGAAAATAAAAAAAAAATAGGGGTTGCTACCCGGAGGTCTTGAAAAGGTTGTACATGTACAAATAGGCTATTTTTAATTTTCTCTTATACCTATTTAAATCTTAATTTTAAACGAATATTTGTATTTTTCAAACATCTCTTTTTATTTGATGGCGTATTTCAGTCATTTCTTGCCTAACCAGCTTTATTTCATTGAGAAAGTAGATAATTTTTCAAAACACCATAATCACTATATATTCGACAGTTTACGTCTCGAAAAACTCCCTGTTTTTATTCTCAGACTGACTAAAAGTCAAATGTGACAGTTTCTTTGTTATTACCTCTTTTTATTTATCAACTATTTTTCTTTTCAGTGCGACAAAAATATCTAATGAAAACCGAAATTTTTTCATCACGAAAGCTCTCTATTTAGACCAGGCGTATAGTACAACTCATGCCAAAATAACTAACCAACAAACATGTATCGCATGTAATATATTCCAGTATTTGAAACAAGAGAAAACCGAGAATAAAAATTGCAAAATGTAGGTAAAAATTATTGAATAAATATTAAAAATCTAGGATTGGCCAATTAATTAGAATTAGTTCTATAGTGTCCAATTCACTTACCAATTTATGGAATGTAGGTAAATTTCTCACAATTTATATGGGCCATTCCATGTCAAATTGTGACCCGACCATTATTATTTTCATGTTTTTTTTAGTATTATTTAGTTAGTAGGTACCCATTTAGAGTAGCTTTTACGATTTTTTTTTCAAATTTTTCAACTCCTCAAGAACTTAGTTGAATATTTTGGGCAAAAAATCTCAAAAACTTGTAATTTGGCATATTTATTTATCATAAACATTTTTTTTTAATTTTTTCGTTTTGAGACGTAGATTTATAAAAAAATATATAAATGATACATTTTTAGTTTTTGGAGCTTTTTTTTTATTTTTAAAGAAAAAAGTCCTTTTTGAAAAAGAGTAGCGTGTCTTTATTCTTCGAAAAATTCTTAAAAAATTGTCTTTCAGTAAGCACATTTATGAGATGGATTTTAATCTATTTTTTTCGAATTTAATTTTTTTTTTGTATTTTAATTTTTTGCAGATAATGTACGCTATTAAACCCAATTATTTTATAGAAGTAAATCACGATGACTAATTACTAAAAATACCATATTTTTGAAACTACTTCTACTTATATTTTTAACCATTTGTATTTAGTAAAAACTATCGAGTCATTTTTAGCATATTTTCCATCGCCCAGGAGAAAATCCGAGATATACAAATTGGAGATTTTGTCGTCTACTTTCAGATACCGTTTTCAGAATTTAAATCGGACCATTTTTGATAAATCGCCACGCTGTGCAAAAAAGAGCCTAATTTGTTTATAATGCAATTAATTGTACAAAAACTATGCATCGGACAGACACCATATTATTATCTTTCATTTTCCGCAAGATTGTTTGTCCAGCTTCAAATTTGACGGAGTTATGAAATTTAAAAAAAAGGTCTATTTTAAAGGTTTTTCGGATTTTCTCTGTAAAAAATAAACCGATCGGGTCGCAGAAAAAAACATTCTATAGGGTTTCTTATTCTCTAAAAAAGTCCTATTGAGAGTAAGACGATTCCACCATTATTTTTCGAGATATTATAAAAAAACAATAAAATGTCATTTTTTTGCAGTTTTTATTATTTAAAAAAAATTGTTCACAACTTTGCTGGGGAAATCATTTACTAAGTATTTTTCAAAAGGTAATACATGAAATTTGCTGTAATATTTAAGTGTGCCAAAAAATCTCTATTGGTTGGCCTATACCTTGATCAGTTTGTCGATTCAATTTATAAAAATACATCTTTAAATATTTTTAGGTTTGTACAAGTAATGTTCCATTGAAATTAAATGAATATATTTGAGTGTTCCTGCAGTTTATACAGGGGTAGCCCTTAAATACATTGCGATAATAAAGATGGTGCTTTCTTAGTTAATTATAAGAAAAAATGAACATGGCCTATGGGATATAGTTATAGATTATTAAATTTTAGAGAAAATAAGACTTTTGACTATACAGGGTGTCTCATAATTAGCTGCCAACCCTGAACAGGCCGATTCTATGATCAAAACTAAGTAAAAAAATTCATCTGAACCCATGTTCAGATGAATTCCGGACCCATGTCCGGAAATGTTTCCTAAGGGCACAGGGGCCCATTGAAGAGGGAGGAATGGAAATCATTTTTTTGCAACATCTCTCAATCGCGTTGTGATAAATGAATGAAATTTGGTATGCACAGCTAAATTTTGATGAGCAATTTGATGGACTAATCCATTTATTTCCACAAGGTCAATTGGGGTGGGTACGGGGGGGCCCTTGGTACTTTGCGTGTGTAACTTTTTCATCTTTGACTTTTTAACAAATTGGACAGCAAATTCCGTTTTCCCGAACTGTTTTACGTTAAAAAGGTACTCTTGTTTCAAATCGTTATCTTTAACGGTTTCTGATAAAATCGCTCATGAATTAATCCCACTTTGGTCAATTTCATAGTACATTATAGTAGTTTCTAGAAAGCTCTGTATGTGACCCATCAAATATTTTTTTATATCATAAGCATAGGTAGGGTAACTAACTGTGTATTTATTGAGGAAAAAGTGGTGTGCCAGTAATTTTTGCAAGTTTTAGTACCAAATCTTTAAAGTTTTCTTAAAAAAGGGAAAATTTAATTATCAAAGCCGTAAACAAAATGCAAAAAATAATCTCTAGTTCACCAAACAGCAAAAAGTAAAAACTTTATTATATATCAAAATTTTAATATTGCGACATATTTGTAATTTGTTCGAAAACAAAAACATTGTATTTTCCCAAAATCTGTACTACTAAAAAAAGTATGACAAAAAACAAAATGCTGTTTTGTTCTTAGCAACCTGTATGTTGTAGGTAAAAGTAAGATATATTCATATTCGACTACCTCTATAAAATTTCCTTCAACAAATGATCGTTAAAGGTCCGTAACTTTTTAAGGAAGCAAAATTGTACTAAGATCACTTAACCTAAATCGGTTTTGTTTGACAAAATAAAAGAAAATAGTGGGAAACATTTTTTTAGTGAAAAGTCGTAAATATATTTGACGTTTCGAAAACTACAAGTTTTAGGAGACATCCAGGGTAACTTTTTCCGACAAAAAAAATTTATTACCATTTTGTAATTCCACATAAAACACAACTAAGCACGACTTTTGTAATTTTCGATTTTAAGACAATAATAATAACTTAACAGAAAAAAGTATAAAAGATACCGATTTGTGAAACCAGCAGTATAATTTCTCCGTAATATGGCAACAATAGAGCATCGTCACAGAGTGATCGAACCACCATAAATCAACAAAGTAGTGGCGTGACTACAGGAGTCAAGAGTTTATCGGGATCTAGTCGACCGTCTTCCAAACCAAACAACCGACTGTAGTTTACGCAAGGATTCCTAGATTTTAGTAGAATTTATGTAGCCGGCATGACTGTTTTCGATTTTACGTCGCTGTGTCGTGCAGTTTAGATAAGGCTCATCAATGACGGAGTAATTAGTGAAAAAATTAGATGCATATGTAGTGGATTTTCATCGGGATGTCCATGAGATGTTAAAGGTTGCGACAGAAAATTTTTTACTGTATTTGTTGAGACTCGGAACCGGTTATTTTTTAAATTAAACCATTTTTTTTAATAGATTAATTAAGATATAAACTTAAAAAATATTTGATGTGGTTACTAATTTTATAAAAGAACAATAGACTGTCGATTTTTAAAAGCGCGCCGTCATGATTAGTTATTGAAATAATTAGTTAACATGGGCGTTACTGAAATATGTTTTGAACGGGGTATATAATAAATTGTATTTAATCTGTGGTGCATGGTTTTTATTCGTTTTGTTTATAATTCATTTGTTATACCCAAGTATATTAATTTCAAAAAATTATTTACAATTATAAATTATCAGCAAACATAACCTCAAAATCATATTAATCTTATTTAATTATATTAATCTGAAAAATCGCCAGCGACAATACCCTTTAGAAAATTATATCGCAGTTTTTCAGAAACTGTTTTCTTTAACTCTAAAATCTCAAGCCATTAAAAAACTCATTAGCAGTTTAACTTTCTTGAACCCGCCACGATAATTTTTATAAGTGAAAGCCTGGAAAGTTCATTTTGGCTTATCGCTACATCGGGCGCCATTCTTATCGAATTTTACGGGTCGACAGAGATATAAAAAAAAATGTGATAACTCCGTCTAGCAGCAAAAGTTAATCCGTAGTAATTTGAATCATTTAAATCATAACGATAAATTAACTTTCTATTTCTATATGGTCTGATAGTACCGAATTCGTCTAGCTAAAAATAGAAATAATTATTGCAATAAGTCTATAACGGTACGCTACATTTTTCAGTTTCCCAGTATGTAATCAACTCGTTTGATTTCAAAGTTGTTTGACTTTGGAGCAAAATAAATTCTTTCAGGAATTTTATACAAAAATTCATCAAAGTCTACCTGATCGTTATTTAAATGAGGTTAGTATCAAGTAAACCTTCAGTGAAGTTAGTGCAAAATTTATGTCAAATTACTTTGCAAAGCCTCAAAGTTTTGTAAAATCAGGTAGGACTGGTAGGACTTGATATTTTTATACAAAGAAACTACACTAAAAACTTACGATCGTTAATAAATTTCGGTTCAAACCACCTATTGCTCAATTTTTTTTCCAGTTCTTTGCGGACTATTCCTATTATTTTTCATAAGCCTATTTGGAGCAATAACGATATGGTTCACTGATTACTTCGACAACACCGTCTTGTCTGTAAGTACTACAAAAACAATTCCTCCTGCTTCAAAACCATAATCGAACTGTTTGTATAGACCATGGTCATTTCCAACTCCTCGAATAATATTAAGATGTGGACGAACCCTTCTCCCAAGTCACTAGTTAAGGTCCACATCTTCAACTACACGAACTTGAAGGAATACGACAATAAGTGGGACAAGAAGTTGAAAGTACAAGAGGTTGGACCTTATGTCTACGAGTAAGTCTCTTGCTTATAAATATAAAACAGTGTTATACTTCCTTTTTATGCCTATTTACCGAATTCTTCTTTGTAGAGAGTCTCTAGAAAGAGTCAACGTACAATTCGACGACGATGGCAACTTCGTGTCCTTCCAAGAGAAAAGGTCGTACAACTTTCGCCCAGACCTGTCCAAAGGCAAGCAAAGCGACCAAGTCCACGTACCCAACATACCCTTAATGGTGAGTTAGTTTAACATTCCCATAAAACTCAAACTAATAAGGCTGTTCCTAGGCCGGCACCGCTATGAGCAAGTACCACAACTACTTCGTGAGGTTGGCCTTCTCCAGCTTCTTGACGGGCCTAGACGAGAAGCCTTTCGTCACACTACCAGCCGATAAGTTTATCATAGGATACCGCAACAAACTGCTGGACCTTTCACAGTCGTGGACGCGACTCAACGGCCTGGAGTCCTTAAGTTCTGAAACAGTGGGGATACTCGCATCTGTAAGTGTTCTGTTGTTTAATATACATTACTGGGTCTTCAGAGAATTCTTCTTTTAGAAAAATGGAGTGCAACCAAATGTGATTACCATGAACACGGGCAAAGCGGACATCAACAAGCTGGGACTCATTGAAAAGTTGAATGGGAAGGACCACTTTGAGTACTGGTCTACAGAAGAGTGCGACAGGTAGCTATAAGTAGCTAGCATAACGTGTTTTGGGTACTACCTGATTGTTTCAGAGTCACAGCTGCTGATGGAATGGTTTATCCACCCAAACTGGTGCAACGGAAGCAACCACTTCACTTTCTCATTCCTCAAATGTGCAGGACTTTACCCCTGGTATTCGAAAACGAAGCCACTATTTTAAATGGAAAAATACCTGCCTATAGGTATAAATCGCCGGAATACATCTTCGATACCGCGGAAGAAAGACCGGGGAACCAGTGCTACTGCAGCCTAACAAGTGGCGATTGTCCATTGAAGGGTGTATACAACGTCACACCGTGCAATTTTGGTAAATCCTTTGAAAATGCTTAAAAAATTGTTACTAATACATATCTGTTTATAGGTGTACCATCATTTATTTCAAATCCTCACTTCCTTGGCGCCGATGAGTCGCTGCTAACAGCTATTGATGGTCTTAAAACCTTAGACAAGAAAGACATAGAGACGTACATTAACCTCCACCCGAGCATGGGCTTCAGTATGTCTGGGAGGGCAACGTTCCAACTAAACGTTCAAGTCCAGAAGGCTTTTGGGGTCTACCAGTTGGATAGATATGACGACGGCCTGCTACTGCCCATAGCTTGGTTAGAAATTGTAAGATATATGATTTATTTACGAAGATAACGATTAACCTTCGCGTTTTTCTAGGAGTTAAATGAGAAGAACTTGCCCCAAGACTTCCTCAACATCATCTACGAAGCAACCTATACACTCAAAGGCGTGAAAATGGCGTTCGAATACGGTTTTTTGCTGACGACGCTGATCACTCTGATTTGCATCATCTTGGTCCTCAGAAACACCTGGGAAAGGCCTAACAGACTGGCAGTTAACATGAGGGATCTTCAGAGGCAAGCGGAAGACAATCAAATTTGAGCTTGGAACGATATCACAGATATGTAGTGGTGCATCGACAGCTATACATCTTTCTGAAAGATGTTTTGATGCATGAAATTTCTTGGAGGAATGCACAAACTTTTTGTTACTACTATTTCAATTCAATTGCTATTGCAATATACGTAATACTAATTATATTAATTGAACTATTAGGGAGTAAGAACTTTTCCTTTATTTGGAAAAACTAGTTTATTTTCAAACTGTAATTCAATCTGATTGTTAACAACTTTTCAGTTGTTGAAAATTTAGTTGATCCGTCCAACGAAACTTAAAAAACTGAGTAGGTCAAAATAGAATTTGAACGATCTCGATGAAAGAATCAATACTCAGCAACTTTTATGTTGAAGTTTTGACTTAAATCTTGTGACTTAAGATACTCATGTCTTGTTGTTGTTATAGAGACTGACCTTGTTACAAAAATTTATAATGTTAGTGTTATAGCTTTAATTTTAAAGACTAATTTTGATAAGTGATTTTGTTAAGTTTCTTTGTTACATTGTTAATAAAAACAATTTAAAACTATATTTTCTGACTTTGTACTAAGTACACCTTTTTGCTAGTTCCTAAAATTTTATCAGTACTTATCAATAGAGAACATATGCATTCATATGTGCATTTTTACAGTTGAAATTTAAAAAAATCGCTGAAACAGGTCAATTAGTAAATAGAAATTGCCACTTTTCTGAAATATTTTCTATTTTTGTTTGGCATGTTTGATAGACTTATAACATTACTGACATTTTTTTAATGGGACGCTCAATATTTTATACTATAAATAAATAGCCTTTCTAAAGACGAATTCAGTGATATAAGGTACTTTTTTGTCATAGTTGTCAGAAAGTGGAGTAATTAAATGAAAACAACAATTTAGTACTTTTTATTTTATTACAGTAAATGTTCAAAGTGGCTCCCATTAACCATTGCACAATGTCCAATTCGGTGTTTAAAGTTAGGAATTACATTTTGAATAACATTTGATGTTATGTTTCGAACTTCTTATCTGAAACGATTTTTCAATCCTTCGATCATGTCTGGTCTGTTCACATACACTTTGCTTTTTAGACAACCCCACAAAAAAAATCAAGTGGGGTTAAGTCAGGGGAGCGTGGTGATCATTGAAGCGGCCCTATTTTGCCTATCCATCCATTTGGGAAAATTTCATTAACGTAATTTCTTACATCGAGGTAAAAATGTGGAGGGGCACCTTCTTCTTGGAACCAGACATCACCAACAGGCATATCGTGCTCATTAGGGATAGGAAAAATTAATTCCATAAAAGACAATTTTTTACATTTTTTTGACATCTATGACAAAAAAGTAGATATAACCTTATATCGCTGATTTAGTCTTTAGAAAGGTTATCTATTTATACCATAAAATATAGAGCGTCCTAATAAAAAAAAGTGTCGGTAATGTTAAAGCTATGTCAAAAATGGCTCAAAAAATAGAAAATATTGCAGAAAAGTGACAATTTCTATTTACTAATTTCAGCGATTTCTTTAAATTTCAACCACACTGTACAGGTAGGTAAATTAAAACTGCAGAAATTCCATAAACTTTATTTTCATTTTAAATCAACCTTATCTATATTTGGTACAAAAATACATCACTGTTTTCTTAACTTGACCCCAATTTCTTAAAAAATATTTCGTTAAGACACAATTAAATGTATTTTTGTAGCTGTGGATAAAATCATATTCGAGACGTTATACGTAAAACCGCTGCAATTTTTGGTAATTGACTAGTCTACTTTCAAAATCGTATTAAAAATATATTTTATATACCAATGTAGCAAGCGTCATGTGGATGGAGTGGCAAATATTGTCTTTGTATAGGAAAATTTCTTAAGTCAACTTTTCATGGAACAAACAATTGTATACAGGATGTTTTATATATATGAAGATCTACTGTGAAATATATATATTCAGCAACCATCTCTGATATAAATAGTAAACGAACACCCTGTTTGTAGGCAAAGATTGTTTATATCACAGCTGAAAGCTTAACAGAGAACGTACTAGGTGTTTTTTTGGTAAAAACTAATAATAGCACACATATACATATATTTGTGGCACTTTGGTTAAACATTTTACTACGTGGACATGCATCTGTTCGTCAAGGTTTCAAAAATACTTCAGTCTCGAATGCTAGCGTTTTGTTCTCCACCAAGTGACTTTTCGACCGGCTTCTAGCTCTAAAGTAAATAATTACTAGACAAATCCCCACAAAGAACAAACAAGCAATGAAGAGGTATTGCAGTATCGGCACCAGCACCACCACGAAGTAGATCAGCCACTCAATGTACCACGGAATGCCCACTTGATTCTGCAAATACAATTATCATTACTCCTGAAAGAAAACTATTCAACAACCTACATATTCGAACCAGGTCAAGGGGATGGTGATGTCACTGAACTTCTTGATTTTGTCATTGAACCCTCTCATGTTGTTCATCACCAAGTTGCTCTGTGACCGCGCTATGCCATGAAGGGGTATCCCAGTATTCTTAAAACAGATAAAGGAAATCAGTTGTTGTTTTATTCTGCAAAACCAACACTTACAGGTTCTACTATAACAAAGGAACTGTGCTTTTCCATGTCTGGTTTCATCCCTTCAACGTAAGTTCTTATTACGTCATCTCCATGTAAGAAGTGGGGAAAACTAGCAGCCAATGGCACACCTGGAATCGTCAGTATTAGCTCAAGCAATTACTCCTTCAAGAAGATGTTACTCTACTTACCAAAGTAGCATGGAGCAGCGTCAGAAAGACCGTTTGGTAGAGCTGGTGTTCCCTTGTAACAATCATCGTAAGAAGGGTTGGTCCTGTCAAAAGTTGAAGGTGTCAGGTCATACCTGAAGGCATCCACACCATATAATTTTACATCCCCTAATAACAAATAAAAAGGAAACATTTTCACCAATACTCCAAAACAATACTTGTATGTCAGAATTGAAGTTTAACTCAAAAGTGTTACACTAGGAATCTGCTCTATTTCCCTTGATAGGTAGATGCAAATGAAGAAGAAATGTCATCTGCATCAGCATTTTAAAGAAAAATAACAGTAACCTACTAAGAGTGTCATCTATCTGAAGAAGAAATATACTGCATACTCACTGCTGTAGTAAAGATTACCGACTTTGCACAAGGTCTTCCTCCAATATTTCAGAGTATCATTTCTAGTTAAAAACTGAGGGTAACTGACACCTTCAGACGAGTTGGTAACTTTGTCCCCGCACTTGTCCCCGTTAAAGTGGGGAAGGTTGTCAGTCCCGTCGTACTTATCTATGAGGAAGAACTTCCTATGCCCAAATTTGGTCCCGATGTAGACGGTTACATTGTCCTCCATCTCTGAATATATCTGCAAGTAAAAACAATGACGGAACTAACTGCACATGTTACGCACGTACCTTATTTAGAATCCCGACGTTTTTGGTGGGTACCAAATTGGGCGCTAAGGTCTGGGCAAAGTCCAGAAGTGGATCCGTTATGTTCCAGAGGTAGTTATGGATGGTAGTCTTGATAAAGGGATGGCTATTCAAAGAGCTCATCATCAAGTTTACCCCTATCTTCGTGAATACAGACGCGTCGTATAAAAACCCAGGTATCAACTGCAATCAGTTCAATATATCAAACACTGTTAAAGTCTCTTTGCAGTGACTTACCAATACACCCAAATTGGGCATTACGATTGTTGAATTGAGGTCAATGGTGTTCAGCTCTGGCAAATATATGGCCGTTCTGTTGGCGGTGTAAGTGAAGGTACCGTTCTCGTTGAAGATCGGATTGGAGTGGGTTAGTTTTTCCCTGGAAGAGATGCATTTTATTTTTATCAATTTATCGGATGCCACTTTACCTGTATATAACTGGGCCTACTTCGTCCAACTTCAGCTTGCTGTCGGTACCGTTCAGAAATTCCTCGGAATTGGTGACGTTGAATAAATATATTTTAAGGATAACCTCTTCAGGTGGATCGAACCACCATTCATACGGAGGTAGACCTGGCGGAAGCACACGTATCAAAGATAACTTGACATTTTTAAGGTTTTACTGAAGGCCTCACCTGGAGTCATTTGGATCCTTTGATCCATGAACATGTCATACGGTTTGTAGAAGAGTGTAAGGACACCCCAGCCTATGAGCAATACGCCAAATATCAAACACGAGTTTTGACCTGAAACAGAAGATCATATTTTTACTTCAGTTTTTGAGCTTACAGTTTCGTTTTTCAGATTCATAAAAAGATTATTATGCTGTTAAATGAAATGTGAAACTTATTAATGTTTAGTTTACAATTGACATTCTATCTATCAGATCAAAGAAAAGGAAAGGCTCTGTAAACTACGTGGGACTAATGGCAGAACAGCACGATTGTTTAATTTGTTATGTGGTTCAGTTTTGAAACTGAGAATAAACTGTATCGTAGCCTTGATAAGTAACGGTTAATATTACAAGAGATATAGACTAGGCGGTATCTGTTTTGGTTTGGGTGAATCATATATCCACGGAGATTTTTGGCTTTTTGACTTTCAAGTATTACTAGAAATGAAAATTTTTCTATGCGCATAAAAAAAACGTGGGCTTGACTTTTGGCGGCACAATATGTTAAAAAAAAATTGAAAAATATCATACTTTTCTTCCTATTTAATTATGTATCTTTTCAAGAGTTGATTTTAGGCGAAAATGGAAGAGGAAAAAAATGTTTGTAATTAAAGTAAAAATCGAAAAAATCGTAAAAATGAGGTTAAAACACAATACTTTTTAGGGAATTTTTTGGGGTATTTAAATTGGGTATAGGACCTTTATACTTGGCTCAAGAAAACTTAATGTTATGTAGAATTATCACACCAAATTTCATCAAAATCGGTTCGATAGATTTTGCATAATAATTTTGCAATCCAGATTTTGAAAATAATTTGTAAATTTTCAAAATTTTGCACAGCAAAAACCAAGGCCCTTAGATACTTGAAAATTTAATAACATATAGAAGGGCTCTCAAGCTTTCAAACTTTTTTTGAAAAATTCGAATCCGTCAATTAGGAGAGCTCTGGCACTTGTTTAAACATTGGTCGAATTTTTTTACTTATAAACAATTAGAATAACTTTGTGAATATTCAATCAAATCAAATTTTTTAAAGCAGGTTTTAAAAGTTCTTGGAGAGACACTTCTTTAGTTATAATAATGGATTGTATTTAGATCTAATTTAAATACATATTTTTATATCAGACTTAACATAATTGCTATTGTTAGTTTAAATAAGTGTTGTATAATTTATTGGTAATATAATTCTAGACCGTACACGGTGTTCCAGTTTAATTAGAGCAAATTTGACCTGGATAACTTAATTTGAAATGGCCTTTAAAGTGTGTGACGAATTTGCTTTGATGTCATCAGTAGTCTGAAAACGGCATACTTTCAGCATTGATTTTAATTTCGGAAATAAGAAAAAATCGCAAGGAGCCGGGTCTGGCGAATACGGAGGATGGCCGAGGACAGTAATCTGATTTTTGGCACAAAACTGACGATTTGACAAAGCTGCGCGTGCGGACGCATTGTCATGGTGCAAGAACCACAAGTTGTCGCGCTACAACTGGTCTCTTTTTGCGGATTTTTTCACGTAACCGTTGTAAAACGCCTTAATAGTACAGGATGTCTCAAACTCGATATTATGGGCCTAATGTGAGAATATAACAAATTTAAATAAAATTTGGGATATGTGGTGTTAAATGGAATGAGGTAGGTAAGCCCCATTTTCAATCTAAAGTATTGTCTTTGGAATATGACAGAAACGACTTAAAAATTTTTCTGAAATACTTCCCGTTTAAAAGTTATAAACAATATCGTCCTAAAGAGTCTCAAAAGAAATACCACCTAAAAACCACATTAACGGTGGAAGGATCAACTATAGTCGTTGGAAAATAATTGAACTTTCGTTGTTTAAAGTTCATAAATGTCAGAAAATACTTGACATTACTCAATACGAACGTCAAACGTATTGTGCTTACAAAATGTTTTCTCATTCCGAAAAAGTTGATATGTTGCTAATTTACGGCGACTCACAAAAAGAGCTATTCGCGAATGCAGCTAAGAGCTCGCCCTCTGGCGGTGACAAGTGATACTAGCGAAACAAGGTAAACATTTCTTCTGTGTGTGACATTTCGTTTTGTATTTTATTTAAAACTGTGCTTAGTGTTCGTTTTTTGAACACTGTTATTTTAAGAAAATAGTGTGAGGAAAACTTCAGCAATTATGGATAGAAATAAGAAACTGTCAAACTATTATTGTTCAGTTCAAGGTTGCTCTTCATGGTCCAAGAAAAATCCAGAATTAAGTTTTCATCAAACCATTGAAGAAATTTTCAAAATATTATTGCCGATAGATAATACTCCCTGAATTTCATGAGGGTTGTTAGTAAGTAAGGGCACTAGTTTGCAGACACAATATAAATTTCTAAATTTAAATTAACTTTGCTCAATTTTCCCATATAAGTACCACATGGTCAGCGTTAAAAACTGCCTCTCCTTCTGATATACAACGGGAGTTTTCGTTGGCATATATGTAAATAGGAAATGTATTCCACAACGGATAAGTTCATAGTTATAACCTAATAAAATGTACATTAAATTGTAATGCTAGAGGCAAATAAAGTAGACATAAATACTTGCCTTAAAATTTATTTATGAAATATTTGAAACCTATAAAATAACACAAAAGTCAAATAACCGCAGTTTGATAACAAAATTACTAATAATAATGGCAAATAAGACAAATGTTATTTCACCGCGAGGCAAGAATTCAAAATGCCCAATTCCATTAAAGTCGAAAAAACAGTGAGCACCGCTTAAGACATTAGATCGAGACTGACATACTTTCTTGAATATCCTCTGCCAATCCATTGTGATGATTGAACTTTTATCTCAAGTGCGTAGCCGTAAACTCAGCTTTCGTATCCCGTTGTGATCCTTTGAATGAATGTTTCATCGTCATTGGATTGTTCAAGAAGTTGTCGACAAACGTCCATACGATTTTCTTTCTGTGGTTCGGTCATCAAACGAGAAACAAATTTTGCTGCAACTCGATGCGTGTCTAATTTTTCAGTTAAATTTTCATGGCAAGACTCAATTGAGATGCTAACCTCCTCTACAATTTTATTTGACAGTCAATCGGGGATTTGCACGCACCAAATGTGTGAATTTTTAAACATGGGAGTCATGAGTTATTTTCTGAGCAGACCTCGTATAGAAATGTTTTTTTGTGCTTGGTGGGCATATAGTCCACGGTGTAATTGTTTCTCGCAACACTGGTTAGAGTTGTTTTCGCCCTCTAGGCCAGTACCTGGCAAATTTTGGCAGGTCGCTTCCACCGTAGTAGCCATTTGAATGGCATAGTGGAAGTCGGCACGACAGACATATGGAGCCATTGCGCTTCGCGTACTATGTTTTTTTTATGTTAGTCATCTTTTTTTCAGTGTGAGGTGTTTAGTTGGACAAAACAAATTACATAACTAGTAGCAAAATACACACATGAAAAAAAGATACATATTTTTGATCGAATTTTCAAAATTTTGGGGTTCTTAAAGATAGTTACTCCCATATCTCCACCACTGGCTGACGTATTTATAAAAGAATTCAGCCGTTAGTTCACTTTTGCTCAACTCTTTTAGAAAAAGAAAATGACTGCTTCCATCCCACATATAGTTCAAATAATCTACATGGTGCCAAATTAATTAAAAATTAAAATTAAACATTTAAGGTGCAAATTTTTACGCTTGAATCAGGGATCACACTGTGCCCTAGTGCTTCAGAACTTACATTAACAACATTTCTAGTTATATTTCGTAACCCTACGCGTTCCATTTTAAACCAATATAACTGCCTTTAAAATAATTTTTATATTTTACCTGATGCAATGCTTATAACGCCGCCACTGAAATTAAGTCATTTCATAACTACTGTCTAGAGTGACTCTCTCAATTTAACCTTGGTTGAGTCAATGTTTATCATTACGTAAAAGGTATGTTTTCATTCATATGGAGATGCCACTACCTCATTATTTAATTATGCTTTCGATTAAGTGATTAAAGACGTAATATTAAAAATAAAGTTCTTATAATATCAAAAGCAAGGAAAGTCTAATTCTTCTGATATACTGGGTGTAAATAAATAAATGCGAAAAAATTCAGTGATTGTGATTCCCTGTCGAAAAATAAGATGACTCTTTCATATAAAAATTATTTGAATATCCTCTGTGAAGATACAACTACTTAAAGAGGGCGCCAAAAAAGTACTTTTTTATTTTTTCCTGAAATACCAAAAAAATGGCAGAAATGAAATTAAGTAGACGTTTTCTGCAATCTTATTACTACCTTACCATGTAAAAATTAATTTCAGATAGCAGATAGATTCATTCTAAACAAAAAAGGCCTCTTGTATTTTTTTTTGTAAAATTAACTGTTTCTGGGCAAAAAATTGTTAAAAATCAATTACATGGTATGATTGGCATAGGGTAGAAATTTTATCGAACTGTAATTTATCCAGTAGTCGGCTGTACAGGATGTTAATAAACTTCTGTCAAAAATTTAAAGGGGTGAAAAAGGAGAAAAGATTGAGTTAACAAACTTGTATCGGAAGCCATAGAGAAAAAAGCTAATTAAAAATGTGTTTAAAACTATTTTGGAGCTGCTGAAATACATGTATTTTATCGCGGCCAGTACTTACAAAAAATTTTGTAACACTTTTTACGAGTTTGTAGGTTTCTTATAAAGCCGGACTGTATTCGAAAGTCAGTTTGTAATACATTGTTGTAGTGATTGCTGTGTTGTTTTTCGAGAGTACATTTAATAGCCGTATTTCCTTATTTCCGTATTTAGGGCGACGACTAAGAATTTTAAATGTCGAGGAGATGATTGTAAATCTCGTCGAAGTAGATCCGCATCGTAGCACCAGAAATGTAGCACAACAAGTAAATATTTCGCATCCTGTTGTGTAGAGGACGTAATGAGAAGCTCAGATGTACCCATTTCACATTCAACGTGTTCAAGCGCTTACTCTTGGGGATTTTTCACTACGGCGAGGTTTTTGCTAATGGTTGTCAATTTACAGTGCAAATACTTGTTATAGATGAAGCATGATTCAGTCGAAATGGTAGGTGCGTTTTGTTAGATCAATCCCGGA